GAGATTATGCAGAAACTGCTGACCTATGATTACAACTCAGAGCGACTGCTTGAAAGACTGAAAGACTATAACCAGACAGTTGCTAACGCCAATTAGAGTGGAAGACTTTYAACACGATCAATTTCACCATATTTCACCTTGAAAACAATCTTCTTAGAAATGAAAAGAGACATCGTATCAATTACAGACGCAAAGTGATTCTACTTTCAAATTAACTAATAATATATCTCGCAAGCAAGTTTCAATAAAAAATAATACTAAATGATAAAATTAATAACTAGCTTATACTTTGCGTGCTTGAAGCACGTAAAAAGAATCCCTTGCCCTTGTTGAATTAATTTCCTGCGAGTACTTCTCGTTTCACTAAAAAGCTTTATGAATGGCGAAGTCTGGCTGCGCGCAATTGAGATAGGAAACACCATATACAAACCCCGAGACTTCACAATTCAGTTGATGTGAGATAAGATTCTGTAAACAAATTCATTACTGAATGGAAACCATTGACAATAAGTGATAAACATGAGGATTTTCCGGTGCTTTACTTTACAGCAGACGACATGCCGACTGAGAGTTGTTTGAGTTTTCTTCTTTAAAGCAATTAGCTCACCACAACACGGCCTGCTAATGACATATCAAACACTCTTTACTTATATTTTAGAATTCTACTTTCAAAATATCATTTGGCTCTTACYCTTGTAAGTTTTCTATAACAACAATCACTTGTTGTCATTTCCCCTAACATTTTAATTAACTGCCATAGCAAAARAAAACATTATAAACGCTACCATAAAATGATTCAAATTTAGTGAGAGAAAAAAAATTATGAAAGCAAGCGATTGTGTTGCAGCTTACGGTGTTTGTTGGTACCCTATTGCGATAAAAGTTGACTCGATTTCTCGCAATCTTTTTACTTCCTGTTTTTAAGGATGATCTTTGTAAACATCCCAGGCTGCTTGCTATCTTATAATTGTAGTCGTTTAGAAGATTTCTGACCGTGAATAATATTCTACAACTGCATGGTAAAAAACTCATTGAACAATCACAAAGCTAATTTATGCATACTAGCTTTGAATTAAAGATATCTCGGTGCAACGACAATTAGGGTATATATTTCAGCTGCATTAAAGAGCACAATATATTGTACTCTTCCCACGGACCGTTGTTTTCATCCCACTGCTGACACCAACTCGTAGGTGGACCTGCTGTTAGCGCAAGAGAGGAAATCTTTTTTTCATTAGACAGATKCAACGATACGATCTTTGACTAACGATCTTGGTTTCTAAATAGAATTAGTTGCTGTGACTTGGGTTGAGGGTTTGGGCGTTGTCTTTATAACGTGGAAGAAATGAATCCATAAAAATCCGACCATAAAGCACTTTCATTACTTCTAGTTATGAAAATACATTCGCTTGGGACTTGAGTGACATGTGTCCTTACAAAGGACGTAAATGTAGAAATGACTGATGTTTGACGCATTTGATTGGCTCAAAATACTTAATTCCAAGACAATATTTTWGTTCTCTGTGATGCAAAAGTCAGGAATCAAATGAGGCGACGTTTTCACTCACAATGATTGCTCTATATTAAGTACTGTTATATTTTTCTGAGTAAACAAGAATCATTCCAACMCTAATGGAACGACACTAGAAACATACAGTGAGATTTTGACTGAAGAAGATCTAATGCTATAAAATAGATTGCCTTTGTACTGCATCATATACTTGTATTCTAAGTACATACTTACTTATATTGAACCAGTGATAATACAGGCGTCCGAATCAATCGGTCATTCACGGAAAAGTTGAAATAATGCTCTCCTACTYTTGTCGTTTTGCTACGTTGCCAGGTGACAAATCGTTTAATTCAAACGGTAACATTTGTTATATCGGTTCRATGAAGAAAAATCATCGAAATTCTTCAAAAAGAAAATATATTTGATGAATGACTACTTACACTAATCATTAAATCTCAAACGATCATTTTTCTATGAAATATCTAAGATTTGTAATCAATTAGCAGCGCATTTGGCACAGAATATAAATAAAATATATATGTATTTCCGAAAAGTTGGCTTATTACGTCACAAGACACATGATCTCTCTGCAGTAAATAATGCAGCTATTATGGATTAAGCCTATCTTTATAAGTAATAACGATTTATAATGTWTTATAATATATTGGATGTATACTGCACTGATAAAGTAGATATGACAACAAAAAGGTGTTGGCAAGTTGTAGCCGAATTAGTAAGAAGCAATTACACAGCTCTCGATCATAGGACGGAGAATTGTTATATTGGCGAGAAGTTTAATTCACATTGCCGATTGAGAAATCAGCGATCCTTCCTCAAATAAAGTATTAGTGCCGCAGGCATGTTTGTTTCTAGTGGACATAATCACTGAATAATCCTACAATACTTGGATTATATAGCACTATTTCTAAAATTATCCAAGACGCTTTATAATGGAAAACTTCTCTAAAGCACTTCACAACACAGCTTTCTTTCCCGCAGAGATCGATGGTCCAACGGCGATTGTTTTAAAATTTCTGCTATAATCTTTTATTATTGTACAATCTTTGCCTGTCTTGTCTASAGCTCATGTCACCATAGTCCTTTTTAGCTTATGCTTCGCTAAAGAGTTGTATGCTATCATWGATTCTTAAAAGAAATCTCAGAGGTGTCGCCTTTGACTTAAGGCTTATTAAAAGTGGGTGATTTTAAATATTCGATTTAGACTGAATTCATCTTCAGGTACAGTTGGTGATGTTAAACAAACCCATAGAAACTATGGTAATGGATAGAGAGTCAGAGAGAATAAGAACCGCCGGCTGACAGAGAATAGAAATGTGCGATAAGATTGATTTGTATCARCGTTTGAAATTGCTATATGAATATTCCTTGAATAGTCCTCTTACCTTGATTTGAAAGGCTGGGCAGATCGCAGAAGAGAGTGGCGTAYGCTTGTTGATTTATCTTGTTATTCGTATTTATGGTAATGCCACACTCAGATGAATAATAAGCTTTTTGTTACAGACTCGACGCAAAGCCATAATAATCTTTTGTAGGATTTAATCTTGACTATTTAATAAACCATATTAAGATTTATTAAAATTTAACTACTAATTATAGGATCTGCCACTTTTCTGAGGAGAAAGAAAAATCAATGAATTTTAAAGTTGCTATCCATTTTTCAAAAGATGCTATCTTGAAAGCAATGTATATTGATCAGTACATATCATACGAAAGCACGAAAGAAAAAGTAGTTAGAACACATGATCATGTTAATTTTGTTCGTTTTCAATCTGTTGTAAACGAAAAGAAGCAAGAAAGTAATTGATTTCATGTTAAAAATAACTTAATGCAAGTCAAATGGTTAAACGTTACGAAGGCTAAACTTACCACAATTAGAATGAAAGGTGCAATCTTCCATGGTGTGCGTTATCAACAATAAATTCCTGATTTTAGTTTGTTATTAAAAAGTCGGTGTATTCTTGAATTAGTAACGGCTTCAAATTATCCCAACTAGGGTCATAAGCAAAACAAAGGATTAACATTGGTGAGTAATGTCACAGGTAATATCCCAAACAATAAGTAATACACCGCAATAATGAAAAATGCCTATACAATAATAACATAGACAAAAAAAACATGTTTATTGAGTTGAAGATACGAACTGATTTGAATCTTAAAGCGACGGTATGATTTCTGTAACAGCGGCTGCCCCTATAACCATATTCATGTAGGAATAATGGTTTCTTACAATATTTCAAACCGTGAGAAGCTGAGTGAAAGAAAATTGGAACAGATAAAGATAAYTAAACTAACGCCGTTGTAATAAAAACGCTTTTCTAACAATTCATGRCATACGTCGCGTCGAGCGGAAGCTGGTTTCAAGTTGAAGCAAAGTTTCGCGTTGCACTTTGGGAATGTTTAAAGAATGCTCTGCTCTGTGCAGCTGATAAAACAATATAGATCATACAAGTATTCTTGCTGATAAAAAAGTTAAATAGCAAGCCGAAAACCCGTTACTCTCCATTATACATGGTTTAAATGTTTGATAAGCGCTAGACCTTATTTGAACAGTCACAGTCTGTATTCCTAGACATAATTTACTATGAAATATTCATTTTCATTTTCTCGTGAGAAAAGGCTACCAAAACAATAAATATTATAGGTTATTGTTGTTGATTACCGACAAAGATATTGTTTACTTGTCTCTTTGTAGGTACTTTTAATTACGAAGAAGGAAGTGTCAATAGTGGCGCGTGTCCAGGAAGTTATTCTATTGGGGTTCTCTTTTAGACAGTCGCGTAATATTTCGTTCTAATTACTTCGTTGAGCTATCTATTGACGGCAGTATTCAATAACAAGAACGTGCAATAAAAAGATYTAAATACGTAGAAAATTGATGACAGTACGGAAGCAGTGAAATTAATATCAACAGAAAAAAAGGCATCGATCAARTAAAAAAAWAWTTCATGTTTTGGAGGCATCGATTGATTGATATCTGCGCATGGCAAGAAGTGTCTAACGTGGGCTGATTCGTTGGATCTTAAAAAAAGCGTCAAAACGAAAAAAAAATCATGTTTAGCAGCAGCGAAGACTCTAGAATTCTTGCTTCATCCGGCGGCTATCATCAAACAAACTCGATCAATCAGTACACAAAGAATGCCCACATCAAGAAAATACGATATTCGTTGTTGGGTGTTTTAGACCTAAGCAAACGTCTAAAAAGCTCATCATTGTAACTTCACTGCAAAGTGTACATAAATTCTCGACGYCAAAGCAAAGCTCAAGTGATGTCCATTTCAATTTCAGGATAAGCTTTGTTTCTGTTTGTTTGCCAATTACAAAAWAGTACCGTGATTGGTCTTAATGTTAGTATTTGACAGAACTGGATCTGAAGGTCGCGAGCTGTGCTTACCAAACTGCTTGGGAAGTTCATAAAGAAAATTAGGCGACTTTTTAACGTGCGAACACTCTATATTTTTATCATGTCAGGGCTGCGAGAAAGAACATCTGCTATAAATAATAGATGACTTTATAAAGAGTTGCAGGAATAGCTTGACACAATCCTTCTTAAAAACACTCGCTATGACGTCTAAAACCCCGATATAGACCATCAGCTCTCGTATTTCAAAAGATGCGAAAGCGCCGCCCCGGCTTCATTTTTGTTTAATTGAGAATTCAGCCTCTAATGACAAGCCGTGTTTCTGGTTTATTGAGAATCGTAAGAGAGAATTCAGCATCTAATGACAAGCCGTGTTTCTGGCTAATTGTGCGCGACTCCTGATTCTACAGATACAACGATATGACAGCAGGAAATTCATCGACTCTTGTACCCTTAAAACACTGTGACCATCAAACTGAGCTGAACAACTCCTGCTCACAGAATAGATCACTTGACCAACAAAATGAAAACCTTCTTGGCGTTGGCTACACCGGGATGGTGATTTGGTGCACAACGTTTGCGTTGACTTCATTTYTTATAATTGTAACGAACRCAATCACTATCAAGATTTTTTGCACGMATCCACAACTAAAGAAGAAAAAAGAACACTTGTTTCTGTTGAGYTTAGCGTTGGCTGACAGTATTGTAGGAACAGTAACTGTACCATTCAACATTATACTCTTAGTGTTGGCGTGGTCAAACAAATTCTTTACTCAGTCCTACAAGAGCTTAACAGGGCTCTTCTTGTTCTTTGATGTGTTTTCTGGACTGGCTTCGGTTTTYACACTGACAGCAATTGCATTAGAAAGACAGTTTTCTGTTGCTAAGCCACAAAAACATCGAACTATCAGTAGAAGGAAATATCAGTTCTTAGTAGGGGCACCCTGGGGACTAGCTTTGCTTCTTGGTATTCTTTATGTCCTATCGTATTCGCATGGCTCTCCACCATTCAACGTTTTCTTCCAGTTTATTGTTATATCAGTGACTTTGTCGTTCATTCTAATAATTATTTGTTACGTTGGCATTTGGATTTATATTAAAAATGAAAAACCTACAAAACGACTATCCCAACTAAGCTTAAGAAATGGGAAATCATATTTTCAAATAAGGAAAGAGCGCAAAATGACGTATGTCGTTGTCATAGTAACAAGTACGTTTGTGATCACATGGCTTCCATTTCAGATTATTAATGTGATATACTATGTATGTAACTGTGAACCAGGTTTTTCTCAGTCGCTCATCAACATAATCAAATTATTGCAGTACTTAAACTCTTTGTTAAACCCAATCGTTTACTCGCTGGTCATTGATGAATTCAGGAAATGTTTACGTAAAACAGTGCGCAACATGAGAAGACAATAAAGCGCTAGCGTCAATGTTTACGTAAAAACAGTGCGCAACATGAGAAGACAATAAAGCGCTAGCGTCAATGTTTACGTAAAAACAGTGCGCAACATGAGAAGACAATAAAGCGTCGAAGTTACTACTCATTGTCTGCATCCGCCGGGATGTAATGCATATGAACAATTTTGACAAAAACACCATTTATTTCTCAGAACAAGAGGGAAAAGGGTGCGAATAGAAAACAAGGAAAATACTAGAAGTGTAATCGATTGTCAAGAAAAGAAAAACAAATAAAATATGATAAAGATCTCTTTATGCAATGTTAATCGCGCTTATTTATATACCTTTTAGAGTCACATCTTTGCACCAACATGAACTAATGATGATTTCCTCGCCACTACAACTTCATTTGGAATAACTTCTTGCGGTTGTTGTCTACTCCGGTATCTTTTCTCTATACATACATGTACTTAGTATATAACCGTATTATTGACACTAGGAAAGTTATTAAATAAAAAAACACTGCAACAGTTTATGGATTAAGATAAATACTTTGTTTGCTACAGTAGAAATAGCTTTCTTTAACTGATTGAACAGATTACGGATGTCACTAACTGAACGCAACCTTATGGACAGGTGCACGGTGCGATTAGATAAAAACAAGAAAAGAAAAGTTAAAAAGCAAAGACGGAAAAATCAAGGAGTTTTATAAATTCATTGATAGCCTAYGATGAGCTTGCTTTTGGTTGAACAATCTTCGCTTGTGTTTGTTCTAGTTCTCTATAAATAGTTCTTTATGTGGCTATTAAACAGCTCGATCAAGATCAATGGTCAGTCTCTTGACTATCTAGAGATAAGAAATTCTCTTCCTGACCTACTATCACGTACATAATTCCRGTTTGTATATTGCTGCCATCTGGATTTCTCATAGGGATTTTAGCTTTAAATCATTTCAAATAGTCTTTCAGTTTATGAATTTTGTTTGACTGATACAACTCAAAGCTGTRACATATTCTATAGTTGCAGCAAAGAGTTCGGATTTTAATATCTAAAATCTAAAAATATGAAACCATTTGAATTCCTAATACAAAGCAGTTGAATGGATWGAGTGAACGGATCAAATTATGGATGTATCAATGAATAGAAAGATTAATAATGGACGATAAGTGGACGAGAGACTGAATGAATACAAATGATGGATGGGTAAAAGAATGAAAAGGTGAATGAAAACCGATAACTGTAGAGATGATGGATAAAGCGATTGATGGATGAATATGGATGGATGACCGATAAAAAGATTAATGGAAAATGCGTGGGAATGAATGGATGACGGCGAATGGAGTAGTGAAGAACGGATTAGATGAATTGCTTGATGGATTTCTAGATGAATCAAGGAAAGTGGACTGGATGGATGAATCTATGGCAAAGTGGATGATAACAGAAACTCTATTAATTAATAGAATCAATRAATAAGCTGATTGTTTGACTGCTCTACAATTTGGTGGCGATTTTAGCTTCGTGACAGGTTCACTTACAACCTCATATACCTCATTTCAAGATTTCTTGTAAGACCTGAGTTAACTGCCGCTTACAACCAGCATTAAYATAAGCAAATACTAAGGATTTGAAATCCAAAAAATCAATTAAGCACTTCTTAGTTGAGAAGCAGGTGAAAATCTACGTGTGCGATATCAAATAGCAGYGTTTTCCTTTCATAGCATGTTTTGTCAAAAGCCTTTATAATCCAATTGTGGCAATCTTGAAAATACTTTTTAGAAAGAAATGTAGGTGGCAATCCATCAATGACTTCATTAAAAGTGAGAGATCTATTAACATACGGAGTCAACATATTAAAACGATTTAGCGCATGTTTGCAATTTAACCCCAATATTTCCAAAAGCAAAAATGGAAATCATCTTAATTATATGTACCTYAAGTACAACTGGCCAATATAACGACAAAAATATAAAGAGTAACAAGAGTGAACGCGTCCATTGTACTCTCTCTCTACGTATGAKRCCAACTCGTACGAAGGGAAGGAATTATAAGAGGTTCAATCAGACGGTTGAAAGGGCGGAKCGACAAAAGCGTTGTTCATCTTGACATAATAAACTAAATGCTGCCAAGATTGATATAAATGAAGAGGTACTAGGTATAGAGTGCACTCCAGATCAATTGTATGACAAACACAGGGGTCCCGCTGATCTTAACTACATTCACATAATAGGTGAGTACAGAATAAAATCACTTATTATCCGAGAGGGATTTGGTTTGATCAACAGCGTTAATTGCACGGGAACTACAGACCGGGTAAGCCGTTTAGTGCTATGCAGGATTACTGTCTCTTTCGCTATAAAGCGCTTGTTCCTAAATTAAATTAAGTCATCGGYGCTGATAACATTTGAATGGTGACAATCATTTATCGTTGATTCATCTTTTACGCACAACATTCAGTCAAGTCAACTGCAACTCGCATATCTTGAATGTAAAGCCAGCGGAATAACTAGAGCTATAATTTTTTATCTTTCTAAATTACAAGCATGGAATGAAATAATGCCGACCTCTGTTAGCAATGATATTGTCGATAGCTGCGCACAGCTGCAAATTAATTGCAAGGTGAAAATTTACATTTCAAAYTGAAGAAAACGTCTTGAACTTAACGCTTATTCCTTTTTCACATTTGATTAAAATTAACGAAATGACCCAAAATGGAACTGCAAAATCAACATGAGAATTCAAGAAAAACACTGAGAAAATCGAATAGAATATATCGAAAAATACTGACATGTTTTAGTATATCATGAAGTATACGAAGCCGTAAAAATGATTTCACATTATGTACACTTATGTCAGCAAAAGATAAACGGAACCTGTTAGCACTAATTCATATCAGGAAGCATTTGTACGGTTGTATTTTATTTAAAAACATACGGCAGATCGAAAACTATTTCAGGATTGTAAGGTGGAATTGAACTGATTTCAAGATGATTCAGTCGTGTAGATCAAGATGTTTTTCTGTTTCGACAAAATGATACCGCCACAGGTACTAAAGTATGACATCATATCTACGTCAACAGGCTACCATGGTTTCCATTGTTCTGTGGAGTTTTGCTTTTGGRATGACGTCATTTGCAATCGTGATGGGCAACTGTTTYACCATCGCCGTCTTTGTCACCAGCAAGAAGCTTGTGCGCATGCGTGCTTGTTACTTTCTTGTGAGTCTGGCAGTAGCTGACATGATGATAGGTGTTATTACTGTTCCAATGTACATAATTTTCCTTAATTACCACCTGACGAATAGAGACTATCAGACYGTCTATACTGCTGTGGATATCGCTTCAGGGTTTGCTTCAGTCTTTACGTTAACTGCTATTGCCTTGGAACGACTGTACGCTTTCCTGTTCCCACTGAAATACCGGGCCACACAATCAACAAGAACCTATRTAGGACTAGTAATGATATTATGGTCCATGTCAGCGGTAATCACCASTCTGCACATGCTTTATCGATATCAAGTGATTCAATTTCATCATTTCTTTTACATCATGTTCAGCTGTTTATCAATCTGCCTCGTTATCATGTGTGCATCGTACGTGGGGATTTGGGTTAAAGTTCACTACCACTATCGGCAAAACCACAGGAATCCCGAGAGGAAGTTTGCGCGCATAATWTTCATCGTTACAACTTTGTTCATTTTTACTTGGCTGCCGTTCCATCTTCTTAACATCATCAACTATTTCTGTGACTCTTGCATCAAGCATCACTTGCCAATCAATTTTCTGTTCTTTTGCAAGCTGCTACAATACGCCAATTCATTCATCAATCCCATCATTTACACATTTCAAATGCCAGAATTTAAAATCACACTGATTAAGATGCTCTGTAAATTGCAGCCAATCAGAGCTGATGAATCTCGTAGAGTGGAGGAAATTCCACTGGATAAAATCGAAGATTACCATGGAAACAAACACTAACACGTTATAATAGCTTCCCAAACTCGATAATTAACATAATCGTGAAAATAAAACCATAATTACAGCACTAATTAAAGGATAATTTGAGGGYTTTTTCCACAGGTAAAACCGAATGTGGCATGGCTACCAAAATCAATTGACCTGTATTCGAATAATTTACSAAATAGCACGACAAATTTGGTGTTAAAATGGTTGCACAAATTGAAATAAAAAAATTCAAAAAAAAAATGTGTTCCTCGAGGTACCTTCGAAATGCTTCTTCTGTTGAATATCAGTGTTTTCTTCTAGCGACGATGTCCCGGTTTTTGCAGGTTGTCTGGCTTTTTGGCGGCCGTCATTCAATGTTAATATCGTTTGTGGATGACTTGYTTTYCTGTTTGTTAATCTCTGATTCACATGTTTTTCTTAATCTCCAAATCAGTCAAATCAAATCCTGTTTATACTCATTTCTCTATGTATTATCAGTACGCACGATGGATAAGCCTCCAATCAGCCCTCAGCTAACACCAGTACTTAATGCTTTTTAAAGCTATTCTTAAAGTTRCTGCTGGCCATCTTTTGGATCGTCTGCATAGTGAACTCAAAAACGATTCTCAAGGTATATTATAGAAAAATGGCCGAGACGAAATATTTATTAAAATATTTTGTCTATGAGATGGAGCTCATAAGGCTATCGATATGCTGCACACTCCAAATGAATGTTTTATTGACAAGTATTTCAGTGCCGAGCAGGACTTGTACAACGTATATTAAAGTATATGCTATCTMGTGAGTTACGCATCTTATTATAGATATCTTCGGCCATTTGCGCTTTTTTGCGTTATTGGATAAAGTCGGGCAAGGGCTTTCTGAATAAGCCAATTATCTCTACGATAAGTGCGTGGCAATCATATTAAATTTCCCTTCGAAAAAAAATAAGACATTTTCAAACCAACATTTCAAATTCAATAAACAGTCAGAAACCTTGACGCTGTCAAGACAAACGTGTCTTTGAAGTAAAATCGGAAACGCTGCCTGTCAAACAATAATGCCCAATGATTAAACTAAAACAAATTAAACTAAAACATCAAGTCAGGAGAAAGAACCTGTTCAAAATTTTCTGAGAATGTTTTATCATAAGCATTTGTGAACAATATATACAATAAAACAGTTTTTAAAGTAAATCATTGTGCAAAGCCTTTTCCCGTATAATAAATTTTTAAGAAAAAAGAAGACATACATTAATAATTTTTGTAATTGATGGCAAAAACAGGAAAAAATTAATTATTAAAAACAGAAGACACAATATGGTTGCAATTCCAACATGTTTGGGACCACGATTACTGGTTATGGTGCATTCTGGTATCCCTGAGGCTGAATTGACAAAGTCAAATAATATTAAGATAACCGGAAATAACATGAATAAAACAACTAAATGCAAGTGCAGGATAATGCAGAGAACAAAAAGGTGAAAAAAGGATGAGATTAAATTTTAATAAAAGGTGTTGATTGTGTTTATATATGTCATCCAGTTTTTAATTTAACACGAATATTAAAATGGTTGTCTGTACATTGATTGGCGCCAATGACGTGTGGGTTCATTGTTTTCAAATGGAGATATTGACACAACACAACACAAGAAGGACTAATGGAGTTGCGCTAACATACATTATTTGTTCARCTGATATCAGCAATAAAATTTTTAACGCTTTTGTAAGCACCTACAGAAGGCTGAAGATCAATTTGTGTTGTCCTGGTCGGGAAGAGAGGCATTAATTGAGTATTAAGGTAAGTCGGTTATAATTCGAATCATTAATTTATAAATTATAACACAAAAAGAGATGTCATATTTAGAACGCCAGCTATCATTGTTATTCAGTTCAGAGTAAAAAATCTTCTTCATTGATAAGATCAATGCACCATCTTACTGAAATGGCGATTGCTCAAAATAAAAACAAATGCTACAACAACAATAAAAATAAATAATATTGTAACTCAATGCAATAAGCATATGATATGACTGATTGAAATTACACAACAAGAAGAAAAAATATTAAAAAATAAAAAGGAAWATAGCAAATGGCTGTATAACAATATGCTAAAAACTGTTTATTAAAACCCTTCTATTCATTGCATTGTAGCCAGTTTCAAAATATTCGAAGTCATATTAAATTGGTCAAATYGGTCAAATAATGTACTCGACATGTCTTCATATATTAGGTACATGCCAGCTTTTCATTAGAATCTAAGCTTCAATTAAAGCCCTTCAAAAGAAAACTAATAAAAAGCGATTAGACAGGTGAACATATATATATAATATGGTCACGTGGTATTTGTATGAGAACAGGCTAATAGTATTGGTGCATTTGTTGATTAACACATCGATGATACTACTAGCTCTATTGGAAGTCTAAAGGTACAATATATTGCTATAATCAGAACTTAARAATTACTATCGACTTTACTTGGATATTCAATTCATGACAAATATAACCAAGGAAAGTCAAAGGATGATGATTTTCGAGTTGATTTCAGTCTGTTCTTTGTACTAAAGTACTGATCTCTATKCACCTATTTTAGAAGCACCACTTCACGCTAATTCATTTATATCACAATACATTATTGTATATGGAATGAAAATTATACTCGGTTTCTATTCCTTAAATGTTTTTCTAGATATATTACGCCAAACAACCTGATCGAATTATAAATGTCGCCAAMTTACTGAAGGACAAAACAACTTTGAAGGACAATCGACTTACTGTTGATTTCTTCTTTTTTTTCAACATCGCATTAATGCCAAGAAAACTCGTTCTCCATGGCCGTCACCGATTAAATACAAGCTGCGTCCTTTATTATTAACTAGTGAGCTATGAGGCAAAGACAACAACACCCAAGCGTCGATTTTTTCATTTTGCGGTTTCTTATATAACTATATAAAACGTTTTTTTAGGCGATTGGCTAAATTTAGTTKATGATGGCATGTCATTGATATATCATTGAATTAAAAGGTTCAAGAGTGGTTTAAGTGCGTCTTTACCACAAGAGAGAATTAAAAAAACCAACGCAGAGATTCAGTGACAACCCAGCTTTGTGGAGGTTCTATCAGTTACGTACAGTGTGGAAAAACGTTTAGGTTTGATTTATTATTTTCTATATAAATAGCACAATCTAAGCATGTTGCATCAAAGGAGTACATATTTTCATCATCTAACAAGATTTTAAGATTGTTGTCATAAAGTATGCTTAAGAAGTTTTTGACAGMACAAGCACTGTTTACCCTAATCGCAGTTATCAGGCTAGAGTGATCGATTAAGATTAGACTGTATTGCAACAAAGAGCTACAGTATTATGATGTTAGGCATTAGAACACACCATCTTACACCATCCTACACACAGGAACTTCCTATGGAACCAATATTTTCTTAATTAACTGACATTAATTGACTTACTGGAACTCATCTAGTATGCGTATTTTTGGATACAAATTCTTGAGATCCGCCGGCATAGATTCACTAATTGGTGGAGGGATTATCAGATCCAGTGAGCATGAGCGAAGACTCCTCAAGTTTCACTTCGGCGAAACCAAGTGAAGGATTAAATATCGAGGAAGTGTAGACTCTTTGTTTGATATGCATGCAAATAGATTGACAACAATGGAAAACAGAACAGTAAAGTAAAAGAACCCTGGATCCACCACTAGATGATACATAATGAATGTAAAACTATTAACTATTGCTCTCTTTATTTCTAGAGACATGTCCGCTAATCGTTCAACTGTGCCCCAGACTCCTCGAGAAAGATCAGCTGTGGAGGTTGGCCATTTTCAGAGAAACGACGCAGTGATCTGGGTGTGCGTMTTTACAATTGAATGTCTTCTAATCATGATCACAAACATTCTTTCTCTGCTCGTTTTCACGTCAAAGAAATATCGGAACAAGAAAAGTAGCATCTTGATGACCAATCTTTGCGTGGCTGACCTACTAGTGGGCCTCTTGGGTACAGGTTTCCAGATCTATACAATAGGAACACCCACTCTATGGAAGTTTCATTTCAAGTTTCACATCAACGTTATGTTTGATGTATTCACAGGRCTTGGTTCCTTATTCTCTCTAACCTCTATAGCACTGGAGCGAATGTACGCAACCTTGTTCCCAGTCYACTACAAATTTAACCATGCCTCCAAATATGGTATTGTGGTAGGTATTGTGTGGCTATTGGCTGCATCTCTGGCATGTTTATCATTTCTCGTTCCTCCATATTTGGTACCACAGTCAACGACCAACGCAATCATCGCAAGTATGCTGTGTGTGTCTGTTGTGACCATCATTTTCTCCTACATGGCCATTGGCATCAAACTAACTAAACAGGAAGACCGCAGCCAAAGACAGGTGAAAATCGCCAAGACTTTATTCCTTGTCACTTTTCTCTCTCTGGTGTCATGGCTACCGTTTCAAGTCATTATACTTGTCAAATATATGTCAAACAGTCAATATAAAATCGATAACCTATTCGTTGTTGTGACAACCAAGTTCCTTCAGTATGGCAATTCGTTTGTCAACACAATCGTCTATTACTTTAGAATGCCTGGTTTTCGCAGTGATCTCAAGAATATTCTTACTTATCATTGTCAGTGCTGCATACGAACACAGTCACGTGATAATGCCCAGGCTGAGAATCATGGGAATGGGAATGGAGAATCCAGGTACTTGCAGTCAGCGGTTACACAAACAGTTTTTATCGAAGAAACAAAGCTCTGAACACTGCAGAATAAATCAATGTGCTTTAAATGCGTTTTTTATTTGACCAGTTGTATTATTCCTATTCAAACATAAATCGCTCTTGATCATCTAAATGTTAAATAGAGAACATGAATGATTGTTAGTATAGTATTAAAAAGCTGCACCAGGAATCAATTGGACAAATTGACATATAGCTCCAAGAGTTGGACGTGCAGGCTGATATGGATTATACTGTGTTTTTRTGTAAAATAAACATTACACAGAGTAGTCTGTACGTCGGAGTTTAAGTTGCCCCCTTGTTAGCTTTTGTCTTTACTAAACATTTTTATGTTTGTTACTTGCGCAGTTCTCCTCGAATGACAGTTACTTATACTTTTGATGCATAAAAAAGCTTAATRAATGAAAAAATAAATAAAAGGAMAAATTGATTGATTCACTGCGGTTTAACACACAACGACACCTTTATTTGAAGTTAACAGCTGTGAAACGATTTACTGGAAAGAGTCATTCATGACTAATTACTTACAATATTTTCCGATTGGTTGCACGATATTCGAGTAAAAGAGGTTTCTTTGGCCATAATTAATGTACTAGGGATTGCTCTAGCCTCGCCTTTTATTTGAAAAAATGGGATGAACTTATTAAATTAATTTCGATTTCCCCTGCCTTTCTATTACATTTACATTTAACAGTTGAAGATTCCAGGAAGAGAAACTAATTGGCATCATACATTAATTATTATATACGTGTAGTACTTCTCCTCATGATTATTATTTTATTTTACACCTCTTTAAGTATTCATTTGTACTGTACACCCTACGTTGAATGAATTACATTGTATGTCTGTACGATAATAGCATAAAGTACGGCTGATTTAATTATATTCATATACTGACAACCTCTTATTTACAATGTGAAGTATTACTATACGATCTTTATCGACTCCAGTCGTTGTYCATTTATCATTTTTTGGATTCTTTGTGATTTATACAGTACAAATCTTACAGTAAATTTTTTGTTTGTTCTCGTGATGAACCAGTTGTTCTCGTGATTTGATTTAAACTGTCAAACAACTTTCTACTGATTTCATAACTGGCGAGGACTGCATGATATTGGAGTTACACCTGGACGTACACGCAAGATGRCTCATGTCCTCATGTCTTCGTAATGCAATCGAATCAGGTCCATCCAAAGCACGGYGATCACGTGACAACTTCAAGATACTCAAAGTAGTTTTATAGAAGTCAGGAATACGAAAGCAGTACAAGATAGGGTTGACCAGAGAGTTCCCATAATGCAGTATTTTACTCAAATACACTACAATAACYGGGATTTTTTCACAGGTTTTACAGAGATTCATGACGTAGGTAATCAACTGGAATGGTAACCAGGCRACTAATGACACTAYTGTTACCAGGACGAGAGTACGTGCCAATCTGCGATCAGCCTCATGGTGTCTGTTGATTACAGAAGGTCGTAAACACGTGACCCAGGACCATACGATCAAGTAGGAGATACATATGATGAGTAATGCAGTCGTGAAGAAGATAAAGTACAGATAATACGCAGCACGTTTTGCAACTGGGTCTGAGGCGTGAGCTAACGTCGGTACGACCGCAGCCAACGCCCATGTGATTATGATGCAKATGATATATGTGTAAAAGGCAGTGCGTCGATGCTTTAAAGGCCACACTACAGCAAACATTCTCTCTAAAGATACTAACGCTAACGAGAATATTGCTAAATACTCGCTGAACACCTCGACAATGTTGTGAGTAAGTATCATGTCTTTATCGATGCGATCGCCGCGAAAATATTGAACAAAAACAAAAACAAAAAGTGGAATAGTAAAACATCCCATCACAAAGTCAGCAAGGGCCAGGTTAATCAAGAAGTAGAACGTACGATTTTGACGAAGTCTGTAGTTAAGAAATGTTAAAATGGTGAGGAAGTTACCGATAACAATMAGTATGCTCTCTAAGATGAATGCCGCCGACCACACTATGACTGTAGCTTCATCCATTGCTCTCATGACCATCGGTTGATTTTTGGTCGAGTCATTGTGGCTCATGACATCAAGCGATGTGTTGTTTGCCATCTGTGCAGTATGCCTTATCGGTACGCCCAAGATAAGAAAATGACTCACTCTCAGCTGTCTCTTCGTATATATGAAACACAAGTAAATTTAATTAATTCTTGGCTCAGCCATTGTCGCTAACTGTTACGTCTATATTATTGATGTGTTTGCTCTCGACGTTTCCTACTTAGTTAATCTCTCATAGACGCTTTATAGTCTCCTGACATGACAGCTTGGCTATAGGAATAAAACTATATTTGTACACATCAGAATATATGCCTTGATAGATGCCCAGTTTCCACCGCGTCCTTTTGCTAATTGGCCTTAGAAACAACTGATACAAAAAGCCGGTATCAACTCGCAAAGGAAATCGACATTATAAAGAAATTTTGTTCCATCGATTAGAATGTGCGATAAGCAGCACGAGCCTGTAAGCGTTTTGTTTGATGACCACTATTGTTTGTTTTCGCTGACAAAATGACTGTTTCTTCTGTGTTTGAAGATATCGTTTGTTATTACCTTGTCTTTCCAGTTAATCCTATGAAGTCAACAGTTTTCAATCCGACTTTTGTGAGCGAAAAGCCAGAGGAAATCTCCGAATGAACGAACAGATCTTTGTCAATCGAATGTTTATACGATGAAAATAATCCGATAATGTTACAGAGGCAACAACTCCTGGTAAATTCTTTTATCGAAGTGGGCACCAGTCGTTAAAGTCCGTGAAGTCCCCTTGATACAGAAAAGGATGCACCAAACAGTGTCTTTGTTCTGTCAATCTCCGGTTAATAGAATTTTTCAAAGACTGCTTGCTGTCTTATCAGTTACGAGTGAAGTGATTCTCTGTTCAAGAACTCCTCTTTGAAGTAGTGAGCCCACGGTTCTACTGTTTTATGCTCTTTTGTTACCCAGCTTACGCTATTGATGGTTAGTGTCGGTTGTCGGGCTGTTAAGATCTCCTAAGCGGCAGCCTACGGCAAAAGAACTTGATAAGAAACGTAAAGTTTGGTTTAAAATGATATTAGGATTAGTAAACATGGTATACCATCTTCTAGCATTGTCGGCCATCTTTGATATGTTGCATCTTGGACTTCACACGGGATAATGACCACAATGAGGAAATGTTATCCGTTCATTTGACGTAAATACGTAATTTTAAAGGAATTTTTCCTGTTCAAATACACAATCAAAAGTCAGGTTAAAAATAACCTTCATTTAGCTGTCATTTCGTCGGTGAGCTATCAGTAATTTAACCCAAATGTAAAGAGCTATTTTATCAAAGATATTCACAATTACCAGATGCCTGCGTTAAGAGGATGTTTTTCTTAATTACATATCAGTAGCAAAAGAAGTCCCTGTTCAATGGAATAACTTCTATGGAACAATGTTGCAATTAGCCTTTTAGAATGCTCAAATAAAAAAAAACACACTCATGCTTTTATGACACTTCATGTATATATTGATTTTTAAAAGATACGATAAGAACTAGTATTAAAATGGTAACTCAATGGACATGGGATCCCAATGAAACAACTTGATATAATCAAAGCTTTTAGGACTAATCAAACACGAATCTGAATGTATAACATAAGTACGATAATAGGAAACACCACAGACCTAACGCTAAAAGAGGATTATTTCAAAATTTAGCATTATGCACTTACAAAATCACAAGCATTAAGTTATTAAATTTAAGTAGTCAAGGAATGTTTTATTGCTTTCCTGTTCAGTGTGGTCTCATGTATTTTTAATACCGCATAAATCTTTAAGACGAAAATACAAAACTCATCAAAAAGTTATAACTCACTGCATACATTCTTTCCTTTTTAATTTGACCAACGCAAAAAAGTACAAAATTGTAATTATGTTTGTAATCTGATAATTTGTGAGTGTTTATAAGTGATAAATGCTTTTTTACAAGTTGATATTATCCTTACAAAGATTGATTTTTTCAGCAGAGTCTCTAAGTACAATGTTTGCATTTCATAGACACTTTCTTTTAGATCTCAAAGCTTATCCATAGTACTAAAAGCAATTAGTTCGCAAATAAGAACAGCAAACAACACTACAAAAAAACAAGAGAATAAAAATCACATAAAAACAGAAGAAAAAAACTTGACAGAAGAAACCATTGAATGTTTTGATTTATTACAGAGCTTCGCGTGTTCATCTTTATGCCGCCTACCAGCCTTCACATCAACACAGAGACAARTAATTAGTTAACATCAAGTGATGGGAAATTCAATAAAACATAGGAAATGGAATCAGCAAAGTGCATTAACAGTAAACATGCTTTGCTGTGAGTAGTAATTACCTTGRCATATTGAATTAGTTCTTTATGCACAAGTCATCGGTGAACGAAAAGGAGCCGAAAACAAAAAGGCAGAGAAGCGCTGCTCGTGTAAGTAAAAAGGAAGAGGTGTAGCCTAAAGAATGTCAGGAARAGTCAGGCAGTCTTTGAAAAGGAAAAGCGAACAAAAACATTGATTCAGCTGGTCAAAGAACATATTGTTTATCATAAYCATTGGTCGCGAGAGTGTGGTTTGTACATTGTTATTTCCTGACAGCTAAAATTATTTTATAAACAATCTTTATATGATAAATCATGTTGAATATACAAGMTTAATCATAGGCTGACATGAGTAATGTTATGATTAACGAGGCTTATTATCAAGTTTCCTGTGGTGATGACTKAAATCATTATTGGAATTATTTGAAGTAATGGAATGACGTAGTGTGTGGCGTACCTTTTCACSAATAAACACTTCGCATATGCTTTGTATAAAAATAAACCCGTCTTAAATGAAGATTTTATGAATMCACGGAATATTTTGTTTTTACTTTTTAAGTAATGTTTCAAGTCCGACAATGAGGACTGGACGGGATTTCAAGTCCGCGCAATTAGTTCCAGTCCGAGGCGCAGCCGACTTCAAATCCTCATTAATTATTCGGGAGGAGAAAAGGGCCGAAAAATATTAAAAGTCTATAGGAATATATCGGTTATATTTGCTCCTTCATGCAGGATTTCATATTTACATCATTGAGCACTATTTATTGTTCTTCAATCCCCATTTGGGCATTTGAAACAAAAGCTATTCAAATTCCCTGTCTGCTATTCATTTTAATCCTAATGAACTTATTCATAACATTTAAAATCATTTTATCTTCCGAGATTTTTCATCGGATAGTGAGTGGTGTAATGGTTTAAGGCGGAGGGCATAGATCAGAAGGTTGGGAGTTCGAATCTCAAGATAAAATTTATCATAGATTTTTTTCACTAAATTCTAAACTAATTAGTTTACTATTTCTACTTGTTTAAAAGAACTTCAATAACTTGGACTTTGAAATTATCTGAGAAATTAAATCAGCTTGGAGTAACTGGAACAAAATTAATTCAGTACAGAGTAACTGGAACAAAATTAATTCAGTACGGAGTAACTGGAACAAAATTAATTCAATACGCCTAGTAACTTCCTCCGATTTCCAGTTACTGCACGTGGTATGAATTACGAACAAGGATTGGCTAGATACCTCGTGAATAATTAATGAGTATTTGAAATAATGTTAAGTGTACTTTAATTTCTAGTATCAGTTGACGTGATCTGACATTGATGTGGTCATATATTGTGTGCTTATAGTGTAGACTGTACAAATATCATGATTCTCCAAAAAGAGATTTATACTGCTAAACTAATGTAAGCAAAACATCGAAAGATAAAAATAGAAGACAGAAAAATAGAAARTAACCTTTATTCTTAATAATATTGAAGCTTTTACGAATGGAAAGAAAAACATGTCTACTTAGAAACCATTTTCAGACAGAAACTTTTGAGTTYGAGTACTTACACCTACGCGCATCTTGAAAGCCAAGTTTTTAAACAAATAGAASTTGTTTACAACTAAAATMTTGAATTGCTTTAACAGTGTTTATCAAGYAACGCACAGAAGTGTATTTGAGAATTATYACAACWAGTTGCAGAATGGCAGTCGAACTGAAAAAGGAAGCACACTCAAACAGGAGTTCGGTAGAGATATACAAKCCTTACTAYTCAAACGCTACTGTAAATCAGTGTTTATAACAAGGGATTWGGGKTTTTTTMAACAGACSTTCTGCAAAAAAAYSCGAAKAATAATAGTTTTGAGAATGRCAGGTGTTTACAAGTTTTATTGGYACATTGCATACTTAATCATGAAATCAATCATCCCTTTAGATTGTCCTTTCATTAAGCTAAAAGATTCATTGGATGTAGCCTTACAGCACTATCTACTAATTTCTACCCAAGTTCTACCCGATCAGAGAGATCTGGAAACCATGAATTCAAACCCTTATCATTGGTTAATTAAATTAGAATAATAAAAAAGTCATCATACCAGCTTTGCCAGGACTGTAAAAAAATATGCATATTTCTGATCACGTGGTGTTGAGAATCACCCTAAAGAAATTATTATTTTTTTACATTTAATGACGAGAATGATGTCGACAGCAGTGATATGGAATACTAGAGAACCAATGCATTCAATCTGGTCCGACTTACGATAACCATCTATTTACACGCAAAAAGCATCATAATTATAACACAGTCAATCAACTCAGGTTAATGAGTATTAAAGTACAACTTGAAATATGATCAATTAGACTAGGACGTCTTAAACGACCATATTTTGCCACAGAAAGGCAAATACAACATGGCATCCACAGTGTTATTGTGATAAGTGTTTTAGCAGCGCCGAATCGCACAGATTATGGTATATTGTTATCTTTATGATAAATAGTGGCTTTTAAAAACCTTTTTTTTCGCTAACCCCAGCTTTTAATTGACACACATTCGTTAACAGTTATTTTTTTTAACACAATTATTAATCAATATCATTACATGCAATATCTACATTTTGTTAAAGCTAAAGATTATATGATTAGATAATAGATCAAATTCATAAGAAAAACCGACTAATATTACGATAAATATTGATATCTAGCTAGTGATCACTGCAATGTYGTCTTGATTCAAAGCATTGCCAAAATATTTTCAYCACAATCCTGAACAACATTTATTTATACCGGTAACATTAATTGATATCGGTGCATGTAAATCAGTTGTCCAATAATTCTTGATCAATACCAGATCGGACCCTCTTCATTACAATCAATACAAGATCGGATCCTCTTTATCATAATCAATACCAAATCGCACCCTCTTCGTGACACTTGTGTCTACGATTTCTCCACCAAGTCTTCCAGGTCGTCCTTTCTCCTGCAGGCGTCTTTTCCAGGAAGTCGTGGACTACCATTACTCTTAGTGGATCCTCTCGCACTTCGTGATTTCCATGTCCACCTCACTGACGTGTTGTTAGTTTGGTTGGGAGACGGTACAACCTCTTGAAGTGGGATATTGGCCTGRTCACCGTTGTTCTTCCCAGAACCACCRCTGCTTCGACGAGCACTYAAGATGCGAAAGGCAGCTTTCTTGAACTCCGGAAACCTGAGACTGTAGATCACTGGGTTAATGAGAGAATTCCCATAATGCAACAGCTTGGTAGTATAGACGACATTGATGGAAAATGGTGCACAGGCYCCCTTACACAGCGTGCTGATGATGAGGATGATCTCGTAAGGCAGCCATGCGCAGACAGACGTGATGGTCACAATGAACAAGGTCAAGGCGAACGCTCGTTCAAAGTCGCTGGATTTACTWCGAATGCTTTTTTGTCGCTTGTAACGAACYTGGATCCATATAATCAAGTAAGCAGCACACATGATGATCAACGAAATGGCAATGATAGGTACACCAATATAGTACGAGACTGGTACCTTGGTTCCTGTGTACTGCAGAGTAGGGAGAATTAACGCCATGATCCACGCAATCGCAATTGATAAAAATATGATCTTCTTTGCATGCACTCGATGTTGCAGCGGCCATACAATTACACGCACGCGCTCTAGAGACACTAACAYTAGAGAGAACAAGGACGCATGAGCAGTTCCAGCATCAACAAAGCGATGTATGGCATCGACAACTCTGTTGTAGTCTTTATAGTAAAAGTAATCCACAAAGACAAAGAGGAAGATGGGAATGCTGAGCCCGCCAACACATAGGTCAGTCACTGCAAGGTTAATTAGGAGTAAAGTGCTATTGCGGCGAAGTCTACGCGTCCCAATAAATGTAGAAATGGTCAGAATGTTGCCACATACAATGAGRAGTGCTTCAACACCAAAAGCGATCGACCAAGCTGTCAGTTCGGGAATTGAATAGGACTCTCCTAATCTTGATGGAGGCTTCTGACTAGTTGTGTTATTCATGTCTAAAATAAAAGAAGCAATTGCATTAATAACTATAATGTCAGGCTTTATCAGATTAATTGATACACACACGCACATCATGAATGCGCACAATTACAGGAAAACATTCTTTTTCTTTTTTGCATTTGTCTGGAACATTGTCAAAGTGTCTTTTTCAAGATTAGACGCCCTTTACAAAAAGCACTTTAAACTTAAGTTTTCTCTAAAACATCTTTTTTATCTTTTCTTAAATAAAAACAACGATTACGTTCTATCTATGCGTTTATGTACCGTTATCTAAGGATGCAAASTTTGATAAGAATCTAAATGCAACATTTGAACATAGCCCTTTAGAGCTCCTAAAAGACAAAAAGTCTTCCTAATAGGCAATTAGAAATGCTAAGCGATATAGATGAAATTAAAATTGTTCTCTGAAATGAAACAGACAGTTAGGTAAGTATTAAGATTTTCATGGCAAAAGTTAATTGTATGACATCAGGGTATTCACCGACTCATAATCTTCCATTTATTTTTGCCAAGAAACAGAAAATCAACGAAACATATGAATGGATCAACAGAAAATTATTGTAATAAATTTTCTCAAGAACGATTGGTACAATAAAATTGCTGGTATCAACTAGATAATCTCTCCAGATTATGGTATCTTATTAAAAACTATGTGTCATGTCTGTCACATATTCACTGCCATCAATTATTGAGAAAACAGTTTTTCATTGTTTCACGCTTAGTTTTCAGGGTACAAAAGACAACCTAAGATGTTTACACCAAGACATAAGAAATAAGCGACCCACCACGAATCACATGAGATCTTACATTTTATGATATACCAAATAAAAATACAAAATTAGAAAATGTTTTCACGATAAAATCTGACTACTTCACATTTTACATTTCATGAAAAATGTCACAATGAAGTGTGGTTAACCTGGGTAAACATGGCTGGTGTCGACATCAAAGTGGTAAAATGTATGGGATTAGAGAAAAAATCCAATCAAGTGTTAAATATCCACGACATAAGAAATTTTACTCTTTGACATCGTATAAAATAAGGTGAACTTGCAATGTCTTTACGTCATGCTAGCAAGAACGTATCATATGAACAAATCGAATTTCTATAAAAAACATCAAATTGCTTTTGACCTACTGTGTGAAACAAAATCTTTCATATGATCGTATTCTTAGGTGGGTTAACAAAAGACTGTTATTATGAATTGATGAATAGAGCGGAAGACAGAAGTTAAAAGCTCTCTTTCAACGCCCGCTGTAAGAGCCACGTAACCGGGAATTAGAGAACAACCAAGTCATTCACAACCAAAAAAGACAAACAAAACAAAAAGACTTTTCAAAGACGGACTAAAAGTACACTATTATCGACCATCTGCGTAAACGAATTGCCGCACTAAAAATAGGGAACAATTATACAACATTTAAATTGTTCTTGAGATTTCAATTAGCGCAAAAGTTAAAAAGAATATTGAAATGGTTGAATCACTTGGGATATGAAAGAATACGTTACGTTATAGATAGCTAATATTCTAGTRCATGTGCAAAGGTGCTGACAGCAGGAATCGTTTATTATTCTCTAGAGGTTTACCGACAACTGAGATACTATCGTCGAGTTTACGTTATTGAAATAGTAGTGCAGTCTGTTATTTAAAAGATACTTTTAGTAGACAATATCTGATCAACTATTTGATTGGAAAAATCTAAACGAAATTCTAGGAGAAAGAGTAAAAATATATATGAATGTCTCAACTTTATCAATCTGTTTTATAAATAAGTATTCTTAGAGTCAAAGGAAACGCCCTTTGCGACCCGGATGTTCAACAATCGCAAGGAATCGTTGTAGAAGCTTGGTGAAATCGARGATTCTTCAKTACAAATTCACACCGGGCCCCAGAGGTCACGAAAATCACTGTGATAAGAATGTTAAGAGCCGAMAAAACTTCATTGGCTTTCACGTAAAGAATCATTAAAAGTAACCTAGTAATTGGCGCGAGTAGAAAATGATGATCTTCATAATGACATGGTTTTCTTTACTGTGCGGTTCTCCACATGACWGCCTTCCTAAAAATATCAATTCGGATTTTCTGATTAAGGTAGTTATTTGCGTTTTTKTAATGTAAACTTTGATTTYTAAAAGTCGGCTTACAAAGGAATAACAACCCACCAGGTCTTTTGAAGRGTTCTAAATAAAATATTGTTTTACATAAGTGTCCTAATTTTCWCAAATTAACATCAATGAGAGAATTTAATAGTGATTGATCTATGGATTGACTATAAAAGCTGTTAGTTGGAATTCATCTATCTGGTTTCGATAGAAAATGTCAAGTAATGTGTCTTGAAAACACGACAATGTAACGACTAAACATGGAAATATCATGGACAGACATAGAGCGATATAAACACGGKTCTGTAGTACACAGATAATAGATTCTAAGATAACGTTCTACCTACCCTAACAGCCCACTAATGCAGGCGAGTTTTGTTTCTGTGTTGGTAAAGTAACAACGGACGTTGATCAGCCAGATGTACGAAGATTCAAGAGAATAAATTACGAAATTGAACCCCAAAAGAGATGCGAATCTGTTGTGTGTACGAATCGATCAGGTMGTAATCACTGATAAGCGTATTCTGAATTGATTTGTAGCCTTGTGATTTAATCTTAGTGACGGCCTGGGAACAAGCCGCTTTGGGGGATCATCTTAAGCAATTTGGATCAATCAACTAGTCTTTGCTACAGGTGACTTGGTACGACAATGCGACTCCTAATGCACATCAATGGTATTTCAGTTCTGCACTYCAAAATCCCGACAAATTAGAGCAAAATTAGTCCCATTACATAAAATAATTGCCGGACATCTTGAGGATAAGTACACGAATAAATAATAATCAGTCTCTCTCACTGCGATTTTTGAACATTTAGCGAGGATTTTCTATCTAAACGATGTCATTGTATTCTAGATATATGTGGGCAAAACCCACAAGACGCTATTCCATCTGTTCCTATCCACAAAAAGACTTTATGACTGCACGTTTTGATCAAAKATTCTACAGTGACAATGACCTTTGATTCGTAATGAAAACATTCTAAATCAATTCCAGAACAGAAATTCAAAATCCAATCGAATCAAAGATTTTTTATAAGATGTTTTTCTTAAACCTATATTGAACCAGATGGTATCAACAAAACGTTTGATTTGTTAACTAAAAAAAAGAAAGAAAAAAAGAAAATTGAAAAAATATCGATCATGCATTCTAGAATTCTTTTTATCTGTTCGATATATTGGTACATTGTTGAGCCGCTTAAAGTAAAGCTAAGGTTATTAAGCAATAATAGTGTGTCTTGAGTGAGCTTTAAGTGTTTACCATGAAACAAATCAACTGAGTTTGGCCAGAAATGTGTCTCGCTGTTCGCTGTTGCTTGGCCTTTTGATAATTGATGCGCCGTTTAATCGAGCAGTTAATCATTTCAACACAAAAATACTGACTTTTCTATTCAACAAAGAGAACATTCCACTGACAAACACCCTTGACCGATTAGTAACAAATTAGCAGCATTAAAAACAGAAAACAATGTATCAAAAATAAAACTTCACAAAATAGACGCTTTCTTAAAATACAGCTTTTTCACTAAAAGCACAACTCAGCTCAATTAGATAAAGCGAAGACAGCGCGCATTAACGAATTATCGAGATAAAATACTGTTCTGTACCTGTGATGTGCGCTACCTTGACTAAATCACTGATTCAGGCCAATAGAGAAACAAAGCTGAGTGATGAACCACAACCTCACCRCATCTTTAATCCATAGCTCAAATCAAATCCCTAAACACAAGCCTTGGTTTGTCGGTAATAATACTCGGCACTGACCTTCAGTAAAAYTCTATCTTAGTTATCTGCAATCACAAAGGTGTCATGAAACACTGAAATATATCGCGCTTAATCCTATTGGACAGTGTTCATCCAATCAGATCAAGACGATTTTACGCGCGTAAACGCCTACAATCCCAACATGCAATGTGGCAATCAATTATCAGTTCTATGAACGTAAGAAGAGTTTGGTTTGTTGTCAAAATGATTTCCGTTTCTAATTTAAAAGACAAACTTTGCATTTCAGCCGCAAAAACCTTTGTTTCGGCATGGATGACAATTTTGCTTTGAAGATGTTATAAAAATGAGTCAACGGAAATACGTATCAGATAAAAAGTACAAAAAGCATTCAGTAGGTTGGTTTTGATTAGAACTCCATGACAGTCGACTAAAAATAAAGTATTTCAATCTTGCTAACCGTAACTCGGGGCACATTTTATTTTTAAGACAATAAATAACACTTACAGAAAAATTATTTTCTAATTCATCAATGCATGTCAGCCAAATATAATATTGCAGTCACTTTTTAGACATTAGAACGAATGATCGAATAAAAAAACAAACAATTGACCCGCCAGCAGCACTTTAAGGCTTTCCTAAAATGGAACATCTGCTAGGGACATTGAAGAAAACTTTYAAAAGGCTAATGAACCACAAATGATTATGTTTTTATAACCCCAATAAAAAGGATTTCTGTGATATTATCTTGTTGTCGACCAACAGGATCAAACACAAATCAGCTTTAAAACAACAGGAACAACGATGAAAAAAATGTTCGAAGGCAATGAGCACCATATAGGCTATTTAAAATAGTAACAATTATATACAGAATTGACTRTAGGAAACAACATACATATTTAGAAGATTAAAAACGCCAATTCACTATGAATCCTAATCCTAATTCACACATTCATCATGAGCCGTCATTGTACTAAAAACATCGATTGAACTCATCTTGATTTGATGACAGAAATTAATAGAAATATAATGCTCATTTCTAGAAKAATAAACACAAATGAGACATTATGAAATAACAATTCATGAAAAACACATGGTTTTCTTAAAAAGAAGAAAAGTCACGAAACAATACATGTTATGAAAATGCCGTATAAAGTCATTTAAGAATTAAG